AGAGAGAGAGAGAGAGAGAGAGAGAGAGAGAGAGAGAGAGAGAGAGAGAGAGAGAGAGAGAGAGAGAGAGAGAGATTCTGTCGTGCAGATTCCCAACCCAACGCATGTAATGTGTTGAGACAGGACCGAACTTTGCTTGACTTGGCACCTCTTGAGGCGACCATGACCGAATGGTTATTAATATATTATAGGGAGATAACCAGATCTATAAGCAACCCATACACAATGACTCCGGAAGGTAGAAATGCTAATCTGACGAAGACATTGAAAAACTCTCTTTGGGGTTAAAAGTTGAAACGAATGGGCAAAGACGGATTCACCGACAAGTGCAAAGAGAATCCAAAGAGCAATGCATCAACGATGAAGTAGAGGAGGATGACCACATACCTTGGATCCTGCTATGTAGCCACCGCAGGAACCAAACGACTTTGTAAATGTTCCCATCATGATGTCAATGTCGGCAGTATCCACACCGGCATACTCGCACACACCTCTTCCCGTAGGACCAACAGCTCCAATGCTGTGTGCTTCATCAAGATATAAGTACGCCTGAACATACATTACATCAACAGGCACCACTCATTGAGCAAAATCCGAACCCGCCCTTCCCAGTGTCTCTTCTCCACCCCCTCAATTCTCTCTTTTGTTGTTCGTACATGCCTTATATAAACATATACTATTATACACAGGGTTGCATCCCTGCTGACCGCCAACCCCGACCGCCGACCCTATTGCAGCCGACCAATAGGGCTGATCGTTCTGTGGTCTGCCGACCAGTCAGGAAAAAAAAAAAAAAAAAAAAAACCATCCACTGAGTACAGCCCAAATCCGCTGAGAAGCTTTTGGGGATTGGGGGGGGGGGGTATGGGGCGTTTTTTGTTTTGTTTTTTTGGGGTGCTGACGAGCCCCGACCGGTAGGTGCCGACCAGCCGATCGGTCGGCCGGTCGGCAGCCGACCAGTCAAGGGCCGCCGACCGTCGGGGGCTGCAACCCTGATTATACACGCGTATGTGTATGTGGAGAGAGACAATAAAAGACCAGCAACCCCTGGCAAAACGACAAAAAAACACACCAGTTTTAAGGGACCTGGATGTGCTGATGGGCAGATACATGATCTGTACCATGAGATTCAGGTCCATTCTTTCTTTCTTTCTTTCTTTCTTTCTTTTTTTCCCCCCATTCAGGTCTATTCTAATAGGGGCAGGGTAGTCAATTTCTTGTTTCGTGACCGTCAATGGCTCCTTGATGTGAACTGCACATGGGTTGGTTAATCATTTTAGGCCATGTGAAGTTCAGGCGACACGATAACCCACGTGGCGCTGAAGACGGTTAACCCATTGTGACAACCAAGAAAGCCTACGGTTAAGACCATTAAACCACCAGTACCAACCCCCCACCCACGTGGCGTTGGAGACGGTTAACCCATTGTAACAACCAAGAAAGCCTACGGTTAAGACCATTAACCACCAGTACCACCCCCCCTCCCCTGGGACTCGCAGCCGAATGCACCCCCCAAAGTGAAAGACCCGACTGTGAGAAACTAGACTAGATTGAACTGGTAGCATGACACGGTCCAAGACGGCACTTCAGTTCTCACGCGCCGAAAGAGGGTATTTGAAGAAGAAGAAGAAGAAGAAGAAGAAGAAGAAGAAGAAGAAGTAGTACATCTGATGTGAGGGACGCTGGACCCGGTTTCCAGCATTTTTAATACGAATCCAATTCCTGTAAAATAAAAAAAAGGGTACATACTACATTACCTTGTAGGCCTTCTTGATTGCCACAATTTCTGGTAGCCGTACCATCTCCCCTTCCATGCTGTATACGCCTTCCACCATAATTAGCACCTTCTTCCATGGCCGATGCGTCCGGGGTTGACCCTCCGCAATTGACTTGCGCAGAACCTGCTCCAGATGCTCTGGACCTGCCGCCAACGCAACATATTATTAACCGCAAGGTTCGAGAAATGGGCCAGTTTTTTTTATCTTAAAAAAAAAAAGGAATGTCTTCTCCTACAGAAGAGATAGCATGGTTTCCATATTATAGCAGCAGCCATAATGTGCAAACTGCAATTGAAATTATTGAACTGAAAATTCGCCATTCATGTTCCATGACATGGCAGAACACCAGTTAAGAGATGTGCGAGGTGAGAGAAAAATATATATGGCTGTCCCCCAATGAGGAAAAGGCAGTAAAAAAATTAAAATAAATAAATAAATTGCCATTCATTTGATCTTCCCTCGACAGACAGAGTAATGCAACCAACTGCCAAAGCATCTTGATTGACTAGAACGTGAACACGAAAAGCATTAGAAACTTGCAAGATGGACCAGGTTCATCTTCACCTGTGTCGAAAAAGAAGTACAGCCAGATGAATAGAACCATGGGGAGAGGAAAGAGGGAGAGTTTCTGAGAGGATGCAAATTGTCGCAAAATTCCTGGTATCGATGTCGTATTATTTGATACAGCAGCTCAGCATTGTAGTATTTTACTATTTTGTATTAAAAAAAAAAAGAAAAAAAAAGTATTTTCTACAGGTCTGATGGGAAAGCTCATATATGAGTCACACATCCTCCTTTTTTTTCTTTTTTTTTTCCTTTTTGTGAGTCACAAGTCCATTTGACGTTGTTCATTTAAATCTCAAAAATTGCGGAGGGAGTTCTTCATTTTTCTATTCGTGATTTATTTATCTATTAAATTTTATTTGTCTACCCATTCACTCATTCATTTATTTATTTATTTGTTAATTGGTTAATTTATTACATTGCTGTTCTTCTATTTCGGATTTCCCTCTTTTTTCACTCACTTAAAATATTTTTTTCATTTTTTTTTGTTTATTGAAAATAGTTTGTTACATCGCTATTTTGAATATTTTTGTATTACATTTATTTTCATTCGTTTTATGATTTATTAAATTCTTTATTGTTTTCTTTCATGATCATCATACCAGACATAGCCATGCTCCAGCAGTTGAAACACACTGCCAGAGACGAGATCCACCAGCCTCGGCTGGTCAACAATAGAACTTTGGTTTGACGAGAAGGGCCGGCGTTTGCCTTGTCCGGAAAAGATATCACAAGTTTTCAAAACAATAGCACTCTATTGAGTTTATTGACTCTATTCTATTCCGGCACAAGCCGCACTGTGACAAGTTTTCCCCCCAAAAATGTACTTCTTAAAGACTTTAACTAATTTGAAATTTCTTGAAATTTCTTCTGGTTTTCGGCGCAATGACTTCTTGGCCCACCAGTAGTGGAGGCAAGACCAGATAAAAAGGTCTTCACAGGGACTGCAGAAGGAGGAGGGTTTTAAAAAAGAGGGGGGGGGGGGGAGAGGAGGAGGGTTATGGAAGAGACATCTGGGTTCTCCAGGAAGGATGGGAAACAGTTAGGTGGCAGCAAGATCCCTGTGGCTTTGGCTGACCTTTTGAGCGCCACGAGTTGTAAAAAAAAGTATGAATGACAGAAGAGATCAGATGACGGATTAGGACGCCAATTGACACCCAGCCTTATGGCCAAATGCTACGCACATGTAGCTTATTACTAGATGTTGATAAACAAATCGAGAATTTGAACTTGGAATCGTAGTGGATATACATATTATACAATGATGTTGGGGGCTGGAGCGCCTCTAAAGAAGAAAAAAAAGAGGCACAAATTTTGATAGAAGAAGGCATATCCGTTCCCCGCGTCTTCCATTTGAATCCCCACTGCCTCCTGAGGCGCGGTGCAGGTTCACCAGCTGAGATAGTCAGCTTGCCCCTCCTGTTTTTTTTTGTGGGGGGGAGGGGGGGGGAGGAGGGGCGATGGTCATTGTCCCTACCATCCGTTGCCAGGAGTTCGATTCAACCCTGAGGGGATTGGCTCAACCGGGAAGGCTCAACCCTGAGGGGATGGGTAGGCTGGGATAGACCGGGGAGGTAGGTCCAGAACCCTACGCCTGAGGTAGTTGCCTGTGCAATATAAGCAGATGGGGAGGGTAGCTAGCATAAGGCAGGTAGGCAGGTAGTGAAAAGTGAAATAGAGAGAAGAATATAGCTTAGTTTTTCAACAACAACAAAAAAAAAGACGGCATATCCGTTCAAATTGGATAGACACACACAATATTATTTAGTATTTTTACCATAGCCCCTGCACAAGAATGGCATGCACACATTGAGAGTTGTGTTTCACAAAAAAAAAAAAAAAAAAAAAAAAAAACAACAACAACAACAACGAAAAGGGATAATCCACTGAGATAATGGGGGTAGTATGAAGCGAGAGAGAATGAAAGAGGGAGGGGGTCACAGACAAGTGAGAGTCAGGAGACAGAGTACTGAAAAGTGATCTTGAAATCGGCGGGCCCTGAGAACTGGGCATCAAGCAGAGGAAAGCATAGTAACCGCAGAGAGTAGAAAAAGCGCGTCCATGCTAAGTACAGCGCGCCAGGCACAGTTGTCAATGAAGCGCGACCTTTGGCTAAATGGAATATAGTCCCAAGGCCTTGAGAAAAAAAGGCGATGGAACAGACTTCAACAAAGTGACGTGTCGTCGAACACACACACACCAGCAGTGCCTATCTTGTTGGTTATGTGGCTACAGAGAGGACAGAGGGAACATGATTGTTGGCTATGGAGATTCTAGCACAGACAACCAGCAGGGCCTATCTTGTTGGTTGTGTGGCTATGGAGAGGACAGAGGAAACGTGATTGTTGGCTATGGAGAGGACAGAGGGGAACAGATTGTTGGCTATGGACAGGACAGAGGGGAACATGATTGTTGGCTATGGAGAGGACAGAGGGGAAGATGAGGGAGGGACGACAGAAACATACTGTTGTGTTTGAAGACCTTCACTTTGGCACCAGACCCACGGACGCCAGCCACTATCGAAGAGTGATTCAAAGAATCACTGATTACAAGACAACCCTGCTCCACCACCAACCACCAACCAACAAAGAATCAAGAGCTGTGCTTGAAGTACCTAAGAACATACACGATACGATCAATCAGCTCAAAAACGGGGAAAGACGGATGTTCTGGTCACGGAAAGAGGAGAGAGAGGGAGGGGGAGGGGGGATGTTGGGG